CCATAAAATTTATTAAAAAAGATTCGAAAATCAGAAAATATGCCATCAGAACTTAATGTTGGGCTTGCATTTTTCGATGAAGCAGTTTCACGTGTCGATTTTTTTTTCCTCCCTCGAGTCGATTTAGACGGACCAGAATGAACTCGTTCAGATGAATCAATGGTTGATTTCTGTAAAGATGTTGATTGTGATGCATGTTCAGAAGAATCATGACGAGCTTTCTTATTACTAGAAGAAGCGACTTCTTTTTCGTTCGTAATTTTATACATAGCTTTTCGAGTTTTACGTTTAACTGGTTTGAATGAAAAAGACGATAATTGGATATTCTGAGATCCTGTTTGATCAGCGGCTGAAGTTGTCTTAGTATTAATTTTTTTCGAAACTGGTGCGTCAGTATCATGTGATATGACATGGGATTCATCAGGGTTCTCTTCAGAAATGCTATCGAAGGCTCTTTTCTTGTTCTTTACGTTAATTGGCTCAGCATTTATTGAGGTATCTTTCTCTTGTGTTGATAAGATATTCAAGGAATCCATCCCTGAATAAAAAGAGCCAGTCAAATGTAATGAGGCTTGTGGATTTTCATTTTTATCGGTATCAATGCTTGCAGAAGACTCAAGCGGAGTAGCTGGCATTAAGTCTTCACACTCTGATAGCATTGATACAGTATTTGAACTAGTCGGATGTGTATTTCCTTCGTCTTCGGAAGCCATACTTTGAATGCTATGATAAAATTAATGATAAAATGTAGACTGTTATTTATCAATTGGAACGCAGCTATGGTAAAGCAGTGCGCATTTAATGATACTATCAAAGAAATCAAATACAAATTCCCCCCGGAATATTTATCCAGAGGAAGAAAAGTACCTACAAGAAAGAAAATTTGGTAGATCAATATCTTCAATATTCGTTTATTATTTATAAGTTGTGACTAGATTTAGAATCACAAGGTCATATGCATATACGAAAGAAAAACTCTGATGAACTGGACTGCGCCCAAACTGCGTAATTTTATCATTTTTAACATTACACAATCACAATATGTATTTGGAATTGTATTTAATATAAATGAATATTTAATTGTACACCAAATATGTACGTAAATACAGTAAATACAGAAATATATATATTTTATAACATTACAGCATTACAATTATAATTAATTGTTAATAAACACGTGAAAATACGTGAAATTTAAGGATCAAAAATAAACGATAAATGGAAAATGAATTTAAGAAATATTCTTATTCTTTATCCTTTGGTTTTTTATTTCCGTATATATATTAATATATACTATATATTATTATTATTAATATATTAAAATAGATTAATATTTATCAGCGTTGTCAAAGATTAGATGCTTTTAAATTCTTTAAAGTGTTATTCAAGCATTAACGTTAACAATGAACACTCCCAATTTAGCAAAATAAAAAAAGCATTTCTTAACGTTAAAGCAAGATATATCTTGTATTGAACTTAATCTCATCCCGAAATAGAAATGGGCCTTCTGTTAAATATGAGTACAACTATTATATCTATTATATTACTATTTATTAAATCCCCTTTTGGCATTAACTAGTTTAGCCAGGTCAAGGAAATACTTGATTTTAATTTCAAATTAAAATATCTGTGCGCACTCTTATTAACTGTATGT